TTTCCTTTTGCTTCTCTATTGCACCGGAAAACCTTAACATTAATCTTTCGAACTACTTGCTGCCAAATGCATTTATTTCAAATATGCACATGGCCAAGTTCCTCTCCTGATCAAAACTCCTATAATGCTGCAAAGATCTTCCTTGAATTCTTTTTCATTTCCCCAAGACATGTCTTACTATGTTGCCTGGGCTAGACCTAAACTCCTAGGCTCACGTGATTCTCCTGCCCCAGCCTCCTGAATAGCTGGGACTAGAGGCCCCATACCTAGTTACTTCCTTCATTTTAGATTCTCTGTCTTCAGATGTAGCAATGATAAGCCCTGGCACCTTGATAAGCCCAGCCAACCTTGTTGAGCTGCTTTCAGATTTCATGCTGTATTCTGGAGGTGCTGTAATTTTGGAGCTGGGCCTGGTGGCACATGCCTAATAGTTCCAGTTACTTGGGAGGCTGAGGCAGCAGTTTGAGAACAGGCTGCGCTGGGGCTGGAGATTTAGCTCGGCGGCATAAGTACCTGCCTTGCAAGCAGGTGGTCGCAAGTTCAATCCCTGGTACTGATTAAAAAAAAAAAAAAAGAGAGAGAGAGAGAACAGGCTAGGCAAGATGAGATTCCCAACGTAAGAAAATGAACCAAACCAAACCAAGAGTTTTTTAGGTTGCTAATGCCTGCATGCTTTTGCTTCTACTGTTCTGCTGCCTGGACAACTCCTTCCTAGGAGCTTGGGGGTTAGTATTCACACATCTTTCTGACCCTGCTCAGACACCTCTTTTATATCTTTAGACACTGTCACCATATTCTCATGGAGTCCTCAGTCCTCTCATACCTAACCTGTTTTATTATACTTATTTGCTTATGTCTTTATTCCTTCACTTGACTGTTAAGGAAATTAAATTAGGGTCTGGGTTGGTTAAGCAAATCATTTAACCCTGATCTGGGATGCAGGAGGTGCTGAAACGAATGCATGTTCAATAAATACTTAATATTTTAATGATAGTAGCAGCTACCACTTTTTGACTACTACATTTGCATCAGCACTTTTCTAGGAAATTTACCTATGACCTACTATTTTATCCTCCTGTTCACTATTAAAAGATTTGTCCATTTCCATCACCAAATAGAAGGGAGTCAGTTTAGTGGGTGAGGGAAGTTGCTTGTAGTTCAAATTGGAATTCCAGTCAGGGTGTGACCTTGATGTCTAAACAGGAAAGGCTATTGTCCCCGCAGACCTCAAAGGGAGGCAAAACAGCCAAGGGTGGATTTGCATGGGTAGGGTAGGAGATGTTAGAGGAATTCAATGAAGTCCAGAGATCAGATCTACAGGCAGGCCTGCTGACTGAGTGGCAGGGTAAACAAGGGACCATTTGGAAGGGAATCCTCAGATCTGTAGGCTAGAACCAAACAAGTAACATGAAATTGAATTAAAAACTAGTTGCAACTACACACACAACTTGTAGTCTAAGGTACTTCACACAACAAGCTGTGGTTATGCCCTAGAAATGGATCTGTGCACTAGGTAAAGGAACCACAGGGACCATGGTCACGTCTTTGGGGAACAAGTTCCAGCAATGTGGTGGGTAAATGCCAACAGGCTTCTCTGGGCCATCAAGATGGTGGTGGCTGGTGCTGTTGGTTGGGGAAGGGTCTCCTCACAATCCCCACCTCCCAAGTTACTGGAGTGAGGCTGAGATTTTACAAGAATGAGAGGGTACCATGGACTAAAACAGAAATACTTTCTAAACCACAAGTTGAACTTTTCCAGATGTGGGAGTGGGCATCCTATTCCCAGTTCACTTAATATGAACTTAGGACTAAAATTAAAGGCTCTGAGGGCACTGAGAGAATGTGAGGCTGATGCTCAAACGAGTTAAGCAATGGCCTCCTTATTTACAGTAAAGTTAGCTCAATCAGACCTCTGGGTGAACATACTGAGATTTTTAGTCATAGTAAACTTTTACAGAAACATTTCTACCAGCAGTTATGGTAAGTGTCACAATGTGATTTATCAGCAACGCTTTTAATGCACATTAATGAGCTCTCAGAGAGTGAAGGGAATGTGGACTCCTGGTCCATCTGCCATACTGCAAACATTAATGCCTCCCTGGAGAGTCCACTCCAAGCTTTCTTGACAAGGTAGAAACTAAAGCTAACTCTACAAGCCAGTCTGTTATGGTTGCTCCTTAGGGATTTATTTGTGTCAGAGAGAGGAGTCCTAATTGAATACAAACTGGGAGGGATTTGGAGAAGACAGAAACTTGGAGTCCTGAATCACTCTTTGGGACCTGCATGAGAATAACCCAAATACAGTAGCTTGGACACAGCTGACTTCTCAAGCCTTTCCCTGAGAAGTTTGCCAAAATACTTGTTTGATAATTGTTCAGGAGAAGCACTGACCCTCTACATTGCCTGGTCTCATGGGAAACAGTGCTATCACCAGATGCTGATTGGCAAAGGACCAAACTATTTCCTCGTTTCAAAACTCAAGCCAGAAATGGCCACACACGAGGATGTGACAGAAGACATGTAGTTCAGTGTTTGTTCCATCTACCTTGGCAATGACTCTGACACGCTCTTCCCAATTACTGGTACCTTCCTGGGACTCAGGGATACCTACAAGTGGACAAACTCTAGGAGCTATATTAATAAATATTATGGGGAAGAAGAAAGAGAATTCTTAAAAGAAAAGAGCTATAAGTTGATGATTCCTATCCTTAAAAAGTTTACACAGAGAGACAAAATATACATACATGTTCCCTGAAAAATAATTTTAATTATTCAGACCTGGCAAGGGTTTGTTATATCATGTACTTCCAAATAACAGGATACCCTGACTCATTTCTGTTAGGCTTGATGTGGCTTCTGATTACACTGCCATTACTGTACATATGATCTTAAGTAGCAGATTTGGTTTTATTATTATTATTATTTTTTTTATCGGTACCAGGGATTGAACTCACGACCGCCTGCTTGCAAGGCAGGTGCTTATGCCGCTGAGCTAAATCCCCAGCAAGATTTGGTTTTATTATTATGGTCCTATTGCTATAGGCATCTGAGTTACATATATTATAGGCAGTCAGGGCTGAGTCCTCCAAGGAGCCAGTGCAGAAGACCAGATACCTTGTAACTACAGATACCTGGGCTATGGGCCAGATCTCAAGACAAAAGACAGAACAAATACAGCCACATGCTAGGGATAAACATCCAGGACTGGTATTCTAAATAGGTATCCATCACCTGAAGGAAGCCAAAAGGAACCACTAACCCAACCCTCTACAGGCAAAGACCTTATTCTGTATTTAGTGACTCACTTTCCCATTTGATCCCAATTTAACCAATTTTACCTGAGCAATTACACTCATGATATTATTGGTTGACCATAGTTCTTTTCCACTTTATGCTCGCCTTATGAGTACTCATTTTTCCCCACCTCATGGTTTTACTCTATAAAAGTCCCTAGAAAAGACAAGAGTCTGGCAATCCACTTGGGAGCCTGTCTCTCTCCTGGACAGAAGCTTTCTTTGTCTCAATAAATATATTTCGTTCTTAACCATTGTTGTTCCTAAAATTCATTCTTCTATTTTAGAGAATACAAACTCATACTGGACATCTAGTATGTTGGGAGTTTCTTTCCCCTATATCACTTTTGGGGTCAAGTTAATATTAGTTTACCTACAGGCACCAGAATGAGCCCCAGCTGGATAGTAGTAACCCCTGAGTTGTGAGCATGGAGGATGGTGAAGATGGCATTAAAATAATATTGAAAAACAAAATAAAATAACCCTGTTGAATCTTTAGCCATTAGGGAAATATAAATCAAAGCTACACTAAGCTTCTATATCACCCCAGTGAGAATGGCTATCATCAAGAATACAAAAAATAAAAAAATTTTTAAAAAAGCAAAATAAATGCTAGTAAGGCAGAGGAGGGTTTCTCCACTGCTAATGGGAATGTAAGTTAGTACAGCTACTATGGAAATCAGTGTGGAAGTTCCTCAAAAAACTAGAGTTACCACATGACTCTGCTGTACCATTCCTTGGTATACATCTCAAGGAATTAAAGTCAGCATACTACAGGGTATCTCTACACCCATGTTTACTATGGGCACAATTCACCATAAGCAAGTTATGGAACCAACTGAGATGACCATCAACAGATAAATGGATAAAACATGGTCTACATACACAATGTGATATTATTTAGCCACAAAAATAAAAATTATTATTTGCAGAAAAATGGATAAAACTAGAAATCATGGTAAGCAAAATATTCCAGTCTCATAAGGACAAATATCGACAGAAAGAAAGAAAGAAAGAAAGAAAGAAAGAAAGAAAGAGAAAGAAAGACAAGTATCATACTTCTTTCCTACTATGTGGGATTTTTAAGAAATAAAAAAAGACACAAAGTAAAAGGGAGACTATTACTAGATAAGAGGAAGGAAGTAAGGAGAAGGAATAAAGGGGATGTGGGAAGGGATTGGGGAGTTAAGGGCTGGGGATTTAGCTCAGTGGCATATGCGCCTGCCTGGCAAGCACAAGGTCCTGAGTTTGATTCCTAAAACCACAAAAAAAAAAAAAAAAAAAAAAAAAGAAAGAAAATCAAGTAATGGGGGGATGGATATGATAAAAATGTTAATGCACGTCTGAAAATACCACATTGAAACCCAGTATTTTGTAAAAACGAAAGAAATAAAAACACCATTGAGCATGATACCATAAATACATATCCTTACAGACGTGTCCAGACCTACGGAATGTTAACATCAACAGTGAATTGCAGGCTTTGGGTGATAACACCATAACCCAAGCTTCTGGGTTCATCAACTGCAACAGGCGTACGCCTTTGGTGGGGGTGTTAAAACTGGAGGGGTTTGTGCAAGTGAGAGCAAGAAGTACGTGGGAAATCTGTGCCTTCTGCTCAGCTATATTGTGAAATTAAAACTGCTCTAAAAAACAAAGTCTATCTAAAAAATAAATCTCAGTGATGATAGCGCTGCAAGAACTTACTTTGCAAATTTAATGCAGAACTGAGTAAAGTATTTCCGTGTGGAAGCCAGGTTGTCGCGGATGATGGGGACATTCTGCTTAATGTGAAGAATGACAGAGGTGACATAGGGGCTCTGGTCACCAACATGCTCCACATTCTGCCACTGCATCTGAAATAGAGGACAGGAACAGGCTTTAGACCCTTCCTGGGGAAGCTGTCACCGGTCACTGGACAAGTAACAGGTGGAAGTGGGAATCAGGCCACTCACTGGTGTGACAGGATTGGCCCCCTTTGCTTTGAGGAATTTCTCCTGCCTCCAGAGTGGCTCATCATGAATGAAAGCAAGCGGTCCCACCTTCACCTTGACAGAGAAATAGAACCCAGGCACCTGTCCTTTTCCCGGGGACGCCAGCATCCTTTCCAGAGCCTTCCTTTCCTGTCTAAGTTGCTGTCATGTAATGGGATGCTCACTAGGTGGACAGTGAGGATTTTATTCTGCTAACTGTTCTACCAGTGGGATTGTGGGACAACACAGAAGGGATATCTTCCAAGGAGATATAGCCTGAGAGATTAAAGAGGTGGCTGGGCTAAATGCAGTGAGACCTGGAAGAGGATTAATTTACACCTCCTCTCAAGCAGATTTGGAATTCTTTAAGAAAGAAAAAGCCAAGCATGGTGGTGTAATCCCAACATTTGGGAGGCTGAGGTAGGAGTGAATTTAAGGACAGGCTGGGCTACATAGTAAGTGAGTTCAGGTCGGCATGAACTCAGCAAGGTGAGACCCTCTCTCAAAACACATGCAAACACACACACACACACACACACACACACACACACACGGAAAGAAGGAAGGAAGGAAGGAAGGAAGGAAGGAAGGAAGGAAGGAAGGAAGGAAAGAAAGAAAGAAAGAAAGAAAGAAAGAAAGAAAGAAAGAAAGAAGAAATTATGACACATGAGATTTGCTTCAAATACCTTAGGGCTAGGGGAATAGATGCAGATGAAATATGATTAGTAAAGCTAGGTGATGGGTACAGGGGACTCACTATGTTGCTTTTTCTGCTTTTCAAATTTTTTCCAATAAAAACATTTATTTACTTTTTGATACAGGGTCTTGCTATGTAGTTCTAGACTGGCCCTGAACTCACTATGTAGCCTAGGCTAGCCTCAAATTCATGGCAATCCTCCTGTCTCAGCCTGCTGAGTGCTGGGATTATATGCATGAACCACGCCTGGAAACATTTAAAAAAGATATACAGAATGTCATGATTTATGTCAGTGGCCCCATGCACTTGCACTGTGCATTTATGATTGGTTCATTGTCTAGCGCTTGGATTGATGGTATTGGTGCTACACCTACCTAGGGGTGGAGCCAGCATACAACATAATGGGTGGAAGAAGGTGTGTGTGTGTCTCTCTCTCTTCCTGGTTTCTGCCTTGCAGTATGCAGCCTCCATGAACTGTGGCCCTGCCATACCACCCTGCCTTAGAGCCAACTGAGTATGGACTGAAACCTCCAAAAACTGTAAGAAATAAACCTTTCCTTTCCCAACTTTGGGCATCTCACGTATTTTGTCTCAGCGACAAGTAAACAGTAACTAAGACAGAGTGAGGTACTATGGTACATGCCTACAAAACCAGCACCCTGAGAGGCTGAGACAGGAAGATTGTTAAGTTCAAGACCAGCATGGGCAATTTAGTAAGACCTTGCTTCAAAAAACTTAAAAAAAAATTAAAATAGGACCGGGATGTAGCTCATGATAAAGGTTCTGAGTCTGACACTCAGTACAGTAAAACAACAACAAAAAGTGTGAGTACAGAAAAGAATCTCATATTTCTAACATTCTGAGGGTTTGATGGAATTTCAATAAGGGGAAAGGAAGGAGGATCTCTGGCAAACACTAGGAGCAGATCAGAGAATAGGACAACAACAAGGGGAACAGGGCAGGAAGAGGCACAGAGACTACGTGGGTGAGACACTCGGGAACTGTGCCACAAGAGGGCTAATAAATCTCTGACCATGAACAAAACAAGTGCATGCTCTGACAGCCTGAGGAGAGTTAGAGGACCTACTCTGGAAAACAGCAGGAAGCTGCTTGCAGTGTGAGGGGGGCAGGGGCGGCATGGTTCCTGGGCTGCTGTGCTGGCAGGGGTGGGCATCAGATCCTGAAAAGGTGGGGCTGTGCTGAGCTGCTGAGTCAGCCCCTCAGAGCCAACTGGACTATCTGCTAAGCAGATCCCCAAGCCAAACACAGACCACAGACTCTGCTCATAGAGGGAGGTCAGCGGTTCTTGGACCTTGATGGGTCTGGCAAGAAAACATTATTTTTATAGAGCTCTTGGGAAAAGGAAAAATTTAATACTGAGAGAACCTGTTTAAAAGAATCCTATTGTAGGTGGATGATTCTCCAGCCCTGGGAAGCTAAAGGACTGTTATGTCCTAATGTTTCTTCAAATCAGAGATGTTTGGATCTAAAACCTTTAGGTATATGTGAGCACAAAACCTTAGAAAAGTGGGAAAGTACCTTCATCTTCACTTTATAGATAAGAAAACAAGGCGCAGTCAAGTATAGTAGCATGTACATGTAACATCAGCTACTCACAATACTGAGGCAGAGGATTACAAGTTTCAAGCCAACCTTGGCAACTTAGCAAGGGCCTGTCTCAAAATTTAAAAAATACATAAAAAGGGCGGGGAATGTATTTTAGTGGCAGAGTGCTTGCCTAACATGCGAAGTCCTGGGTTTAATCCTCAGTACCATGAAAAAAGAAAGACAGAAAGAAGAAAAAGAAAAGAAGAGCCAGCATATGAAGAAGCTGATACAAGACTTTATAACTAAGCTCCAGGAAAAACTTTTTTTAAAATGGGGTCTCACCAAAAAAAAAAAAAAAAAAAAAAAAAAAAAAAAAAGAAGAAAAGAAAAGGGTCTTATGCTCTTCAGGCTGTTTTCCAAATCCTGGGCTCGAGCAATCCTTCCACCTCAGCTTCCCAGGTAGCTGACTGCAGATATATGGCACTATACCCAGCAAGAAAGGAAAATTTACTGGAGGAAAAAAAGAAACAATGGAGAAATAGTAGAGAGCAAATTGTTTTTACATTCAAAGATTTTGGTTATGTGTCATATTTTCCTCATTACCTTTTACCTTATTAGAGAGGTTCTTTTTCCATCTGATTTTAAAGATCTGACCCTTCCAACACAAAATGAGCATTCTAGGTGATTTCAGTGAGCTCACAGGTTAAGGCCAAACCTGCCAGGAGTTGTTAAGTCTGTACTTCACCTTCTTACCCCAGCTTTGCAGAAAGGCATGGAGCACAGTGCTCTGGGTAAATATGTGAGCTGGGCAGCCCCAGTGCCCCCATCTCCAGTCAACATGAAGCTCTCCACAGAAGAGACTGTTGCCTTCCAAGCTGCCAGCATTGTATATGTCAAGCATCCCGAAAGAGTTTATAAATAACTATCTGAACAATTCTCAACTCACAGAAGACGACATAAATGAACGTGGTGCTGTGCTCTGTCACTGCTTCAAAGCAACTCTGAAGCAACACAGCCCATGGGATGTGGGATTTCTGCAGGTTCTCACTCGTTAGTTTATATGTACATCTTCTAACTCCTCTTAATAACCAGTGGCCAAGATGGCACATGTTCCCAGTTGGGGTATATGTGCAAAGGTCAGATCTGCTTCAATATTTTAGCCACTGGTCAAGGTAAAAGAAATACTAGCAAAAGTCAAGTAGACTCATTATTTTAAAGTTTAAATCATAGCTTAATCACATAAAAATGATTTAAAGTACTGCAAAATAATGAAAATTGACTTGCCTTTACTATTTTTTTAAATGTGCAAAGCAGCAGTGATTCTTCCAATATTGTTTCAAATGGTTGATCCTGGCTCTCTGTCATCCAAATAACTTAAGATTTGGGCTGTAACCTGCCTCGGAAATCTATGCTAGGACCTACCCTGTGCAGGTTTTCATATATTCATATATATGAATTATATAAAACAATTTTACTTACTATTCATTCATATGTTATTTAATCGTCACAACAACCCTGTAGTTTTTTTTTTTTTTTAAACAAAGATCTTTTTTTAAAAAAGGAAATAATAGCAATTTGCACTGGAAGAAAAAATATCATGGAAAACCATCAGTAGAAATAAGACTTCAATGTTTTCAGGTAAACTTTTCATCTGACGTTTAAAAGTTACTCCTCTGTAATTTCAAGCTTTTCCTTTTGTGCTTTTTGTAAGGTAAGGTAGGATGGGGTTGAATACCAGATGGTGTTAACTGGTATTATTATAAACAATAAGAAAGAGCCTGCAAAAGAGTAAATACAAAGATGCAGAGCTGACACAGCAGTAATCACGGAAATAAAGTTAATAAGTTAGTAATGATCAAAGCCTCCATGACTCCACTTTTTTTTTTTTTTTCCACAGGGGACTGAACTCACAACCTCGTGCTTACCAGGCAAGCACTTGAATCGCCTGAAATCCCCAGCACCCATAACTCCTCATTTAACCAGTGGGAGAGAATATGGGGCCTAGAACATCCCCAGGGCTCTGCTTTTGCTGCATGAAGTGTGTGGTCCATTTGACACTTCCCAGAGAAGGCCGAGAGATCATTATGATTCCCAGGGAAAGCTAAGTGTAGCAGGGAGTTCGGACCAGTCCAATGATCTGATGACACAGTACCATAAATAGCTTACTACAGAACTTTTTTTCTATTTCCAAAGCTTAGAAACATGTTTCCTGAGAAACTAATTTTCCTTATCTCAAAATTTAAATTCCCACCTATTAATTTTGATCACTAAATTAGATTCAGAGCACAATCTCAGGTGTTCGGACTCTGGAAACACTTCAGGCAACTGAGTGTCTAGTGTTGAGATTTAGGTTGCTGAGCTCTGGGCTCCAAACCTTTACTCAGGCACACATTCAGTCTTACTCTTCATGCTCATCTGGGCTACTTTCTCCTACAACAAGCATCTGCTATACTTATAGGTACATTATGCACACATAGACCACTTGTGTGGGAGTGAATATTTATGAGAACTTACTCTGTACTAGGCACTGTGAGTAATAATTTTTTTTATCGGTACCGGGGATCGAACTCACGACCATGTGCTTGCAAAGCAGGTGCTTATGCTGTTGAGCTAAATCCCCAGCCCCTATGAGTGATAT